AAAAACATCATATAAATGTTTATTAAAAACAGCGGAAACGAGTTTAATACACAATATGTTTGTGAACATAACGTCATAAAATAAAATACAAACTTTTTATTCAAGCAAATAAATAAACACATAACCGTATTTATCAAAACAGATTTAATTGCCATGTCCTGCACTTCCACTTGTTCCAGCTACATCACCTACGCACAGTAAAAACCAAAAATACTGTACGCTCAGCATATTTGTTGAGTGGTACAAAACAGTATAGGACGGAGTCTCGTAAAAATATAATATTTACGAAAATCAATATCTCACTTTCACAGAATGGATTTCCATATATGAAACTACATAGATATAAGTTAGATAAAAACTTTATAAAAGATTTTATCAAACCACTGAGATACAAAATATTCAATTTAACGACATACACCCGGGGTCTCCGAATGTAGCCCTGAGAAATAATGCCTTTTGGGCATCATTCTCGCAACCTTGGCCGATGGTTCTGTATACGTATACGATGAGCGGTGATAGGGGTCTCCTACCGTTGCTCCGAAATACAAGTTTACAATGATCTCAAGTTTTTTAAACTTATGATAATATAAATGTTTAAATATTATTTCCTATATATCAAATCATTTTTATAAATCAATATTTTATAATAAATCACTTTTAAAAGTGTATAAAATATTAATTTGAAAGTAAAATACTACTTTGTATATTTTTTTTAAATAACCTTGAATCATACAAAGAGTGTTTTGTTTTAAAAGATTTTTACAAGTATAATAGTTGAACGGGAAGTCCGTGCAATACGATTTTGTACATACCTCGAGTTCGAGAGAGAAAGTGAAACGGACTTGTTGAAGACTAGTAAGGAACCGAGACTTTAGAGGTGTTATGGAGCTTTACCGAAGAACAAAAAAATAGTAAAAAGTGTCTTAATAACTTGAAGAACACAAAAAAAAATGCAGGATTTTTGGGAGAGTTGTCTTACCTTAAACGGGCTCTAAACGAACTCTAGTTGGCTCTAACTTCTTCTAGTCTTTTGGGAAAGGTTTGGTAGTGTATTGGGAGTAAAATAACTTAATATTTTTATTATAAAGAAGAGAAAAGTTGCTGCAATTTTAAGGAGAGAGAATGGAGAAAAATGAATGAGTTTGGGTGGTATTTATAGGTAAAAATTTGTAGAAACAACCAATAAAGATTACCTCAACTTGATCATGATAATTT